CTGAGAGCGCTAGTTAATGCTTTATCATCAGTAACTGGTTATATTGAAGTAAAGTATCGGCTTAAGGGTTTTAGAACAAGTAGGGGGACCAGTTCGGGCAGGATAAATCCACAAGTTACACTTCTAACATATTAAGTATATCTTACTTGAAACATTCAATCCAGTTTTCAAATTTCAGCCTTTAAGCTGACTCAAGTACAGTAGACCAATTGAGCTGATTTAAAAAAAAAAAATAATTTCGTAAAAATATACAAATAAATCTAATATTGTAGAAAGACCTACTGACAGTGTAAAACTGTATAAAGATAATATGTTTAGATTTGCTATTGTAGAAAGATCTTTTGACTAAATCCAACATCATAAAAAGATCTTAACCTAAATTCGTAGAATGACCTTAATCTAACATCGCAGAGAGACCTTAATCAAACTAAAGAGCTAACATCGAATAACGACGATACGTTTAGTGCTAACATTGAATAACGACGATACGTTTAGCGCTAACATTGAATAACGACGATATGTTTAGCGCTAACATTGAATAACGACGATACGTTTAGCGCTAACATTGACTAACGACGATACGTTTAGCGCTAACATTTCCAATTTTGCAATCAGCTGACCACGTTTTTACTGCAAGTGTTGAGCGATATTAAAATGTAAACGTTTTTCCCTGACTCAATGGCTCGCGATGACCCGGCCCTACGGCCCTGATCCCCCACCCAATTCCAGAGTGTTGGCTACTTTTTCTCGTGCCAGCCCTCTTAAAAACTGCAGCTTGAGCAGATCGTCATGAATATCCGTCAGCCGTACATCCGTATTCCGAGGGCTAATATCGCTTATTACGGTGGCGTGGATGAGGATGTGGGCTAGAGTTAGGGTAAAGGTTGAATATCTTAGTTAACATATCATTTTTACGTTCATGTTACTCGTGTAAAAGCTGACCGTACGTGTTTATATTTATTGTAGATTAATCACATTTACTATGTATGTTTGGCAGTTTATGTTGGATGTTTACAAGACATGTAGATTACAGCTTATATTGGATGTAATGTACATACTAAACATGGCGACATTGGGAGATACAAAAAAAATGTTGCGCAACGGAAACTTGGGTAAAGAATATTTAGCCCTTGAAAAATACCGTACCCACACAATAGAACAAAAAAAGTTTCCACAAAAAACAAATTGCGCATTGGCAAACAGCACGTGATAAAAAATTGCGCCATCGGAAATTCCGCATCTGGAAAATGCTTAAAACAAAATGTGAGAAACGTCCAAAGGAAAATTGTAGTTAAGTTCAGTACATTCATTAGTTCGGTAAATTAATTAGTTCAATAATTCATTATTTCAGTAATTCATTAGTTCAGTAATTCATTAGTTCAGTAATTCATTAGTTCAGTAAATTCATTAGTTCGGTAAATTCATTAGTTCAGAAAATTCATTAGTTCAGTAAATTCATTAGTTTAGTAATTCATTAGTTCAGTAATTCATTAGTTCAGTAATTCATTAGCTCAGTAATTCATTAGTTCAGTAAATCATTAGTTCGGTAATTCATTAGTTCAGTAATTCATTAGTTCAGTAATTCACTAGTTCAGTAAATTCATTAGTTCAGTAAATTCATTAGTTCTGTAAAGTCTGAAAAGAATACATGTATTAATGAAAAAACTATACTAAATTTGCATTGAAGAGATTTCACAAAATTACACATTCTGTTAAATTTATACTTCTTGCTAACATCCATCATTAACCTCATCTACACTTTGTCTAATTGTTTATTCGGGTGTTCTAATTCACTGGAGGGCAGGGATTTCAATTTTGTGATTGTGGTGGGGGGGGGGGGGGGGTTCATCTTCATCACAATCAAGCTCACTATAAACTCATCAACACTATCCAGCTCAACCTTTTGACATAATTAATTACATAATATTATAAAGGCATTACATCGTTCATATGTGTATGTTACTTGTAATTGGTATATTATAGAAGGGGCATAATTAAACAAATGTGACAGAGGTCATGGCTAAACTATTTTAAATTTTAGGGAAAACTAAAACATGTGAGTGATGCTGTTAAAGAAGGCGTAGCAGTGGGGGGTTAGATAGGGGATGTAGGTAAACATAGACCGTTAAACTTGTATACCACAGGTATAGGTACTGAACTATAGTTTACAGCTTCAAGATTAGTTTAAAAACAACGTAGCAAGACAAATAGAAAGAAAAAATTACACCCAGTTAATAAATGTGTTGAAACGGGGAGGAAGTTTGCACATCAAAGATTACAAGCCGCTACTTTGATCTCAAATAAACACATAAATTGAAAGTAGCTCAAAAATATAACCAATACGTTGGATCAATCACATTTGGGTAGAATTATATTTAAATCAGCCCTAATGTAAGAGTTACACAAAGATAAAATGTAATTACTAAGTAAATAAACCGGTAGTGATCTCCCCTAAACTTTCTCGAATATTCTTATATAAAACAACAGGGGGTGGTAACTGGGGATATAGTTATGATTTTTAATCCATTTTAAATACTTAAACTTTTAAAAATAGAATAGAATCTCATAAAAAAAACATTGCGCACCAAGCAAACGCCGAATAAAAACGCGTATAATAGTGCGCAATATTATTAGTACTTTAAAAATTTACATTAGTTTTTTGAGAAATCGGAAGTAGCGTAAATTACTACTTCCAGTCAACGGAAATTACTCAAAATTTAACAGAAGGTAGAGAATTAGATCTTTTACTTACATGTGAAATTTCATTTATCTATCTGAAATAGTACTCAAGTTATAGGCTTTTGAAAAATTCAAAGTAGGAAAAGTACCACTTCCGGTTATCGGAAATCGCTCAAAAGTTGATACGGATCTACGATTTTGATAAAATACTTATATATGAAATTTCATCAACCTAGCTGTAACGGTACTCAAGTTATCGTGTTTACACACGGACAGACAGACAGACAGACAGACACACACACACACAGACATACGGACAAGATTGCAAAATTATTTTTTTCCGTATCAGTGAGGTGTAAAACGTCGAGATTTGTAAAAATCTCGATTTTTTTTTTTGCACGATTACAATACTTTCTCTATACTACGTATATACGAGAAAGTAAAAAGCATATAAGTGCCCGACTACTTAACCAAAAATAATAGTAGCCCTTATTTCTTAAAATATTATAATCCTTGTACCTAAACTATCCTCAACATATCCCTATCTCTAACCTTAACTTTAATTTTATTTAGGGTCCGTTAGTTGTCGAAAGCTTGATGGAGAGGGGGTTAATGTCCGACTGTATTTTTATTTGGCAGGAGATAATATACAGTTGTGTGATTAGAGGGAGTGGGAGATGTATTTCTCCTGTCCACAACTCACTGTAACTTTCTGTGTCTACCTCTGTGTCTACCTCTGTGTCTACCTCTGTGTCTACCTCTGTTTCTACCGTCTTCTAGATTTCACATCCAATAGGTTCTGTTTGTGATGTCGTGTTCTCTGTCTTTAATGGCGTGTGTAATGTCTTTAATGTCGTGTATTCTGTCTTTAATGTCGTGTGCTCTGTATGTGATGTCGTGTGTTCTGTCTTTAATGTCGTGAGTGTGTTCTGTCTTTAATGTCGTGAGTGTGTTCTGTCTTTAATGTCGTGAGTGTGTTCTGTCTTTAATGTCGTGAGTGTGTTCTGTCTTTAATGTCGTGAGTGTGTTCTGTCTTTAATGTCGTGAGTGTGTTCTGTCTTTAATGTCGTGAGTGTGTTCTGTCTTTAATGTCGTGAGTGTGTTCTGTCTGTGATGTCGTGAGTGTGCTGGCGTGACGAATGGTCTGACTCAGGAAACCGAAAGAACCACTCTTTAAGTGGGGCAAGACTTGGCTGTCTACGTTTCTGTTGTTTTAGTGAAGCTAGCCGCTCCAGGCCCATTTGTTTTAGTTGGACAGTGCCGTTATTTCAGTTCGTCTGTTTTAGTTAGGCAAGGCTATTGTTAACATCCTGCTGTTTTAGTTGGCTAGGCCATTGTTTTTAACATTCTGCTGTTTTAGTTAGGCAAGGTTGGTGTTTTTAACATCCTGCTGTTTTAGTTAGGCAAGGTTGGTGTTTTTAACATCCTGCTGTTTTAGTTAGGCAAGGTTGGTGTTTTTAACATCCTGCTGTTTTAGTTAGGCAAGGTTGGTGTTTTTAACATCCTGCTGTTTTAGTTAGGCAAGGTTGGTGTTTTTAACATCCTGCTGTTTTAGTTGGCAAAACTTGAGTAGGACTGTAGTTTTAAGATCACCCTGCTTGAGTTAGGAAAGGCTGTTGATTCTAAGACCCCCGCCTGTTTGTTAGGCAAGGCTGTTGATTCTAAGACCCCCGCCTGTTTGTTGGGCAAGGCTGTTGATTCTAAGACCCCGCCTGTTTGAATTGGGCAAGGCTGTTGATTCTAAGACCCCCCGCCTGTTTGAATTGGGCAAGGCTGTTGATTCTAAGACCCCGCCTGTTTGACCTAGGCAAGGCTGTTGATTCTAAGACCCCGCCTGTTTGACCTAGGCAAGGCTGTTTATTCTAAGACCCCGTTTGTTTGACCTAGGCAAGGCTGTTGATTCTAAGACCCCGCCTGTTTGAGTTGGGCAAAGCTGTTGATTCTAAGAACCCGCCTGTTTGACCTAGGCAAGGCTGTTGATTCTAAGACCCCGTCTGTTTGACCTAGGCAAGGCTGTTGATTCTAAGACCCCGCCTGTTTGACCTAGGCAAGGCTGTTGATTCTAAGACCCCGCCTGTTTGAATTGGGAAAGGCTGTTGATTCTAAGACCCCGCCTGTTTGAATTGGGAAAGGCTGTTGATTCTAAGACTCCCCCCCCCCCCACCCCCGCCAGTTTGAGTTGGGCAAGCCTGTTTGAGTCTGTTGTTTTAGAACGTTTTTTTTTGTTATCGCCGTTTTAACTAGGTCAAATGACCGCGCTTGTGCAGCCATATCGATCTCGCGGCGCTATTAATAGAATTTATCGCATGGATCAGTGGCCGAAGCAAATCTTCATTGTTGTATGTTGGTGGAGAAAAACATGGACATCCGCGTCAGAGTCAGGGGTTAGTGACTCCTACCCGAGTCGACGGTGAATATTCTGTAAGAAGTAAGTGATAGGAATTGTTTTCTCTTTTGTTGCCCAATTGATCTCATACCTTATAGTTATTTTTCGTTTATACTTTAATCTCAGTGAACGGTCGTATGTAGATTAAGTGAATATTTCAGATAAGGGTGAGACTGTTTTGTCTCAGAAATACTGATTTATTCATCTTTTTTGAAATACTGATTTCTTCATGTTGTTTGAAATACTGATTTGTTCATGTTATTTAAATTACTGATTTGTTAATGCTATTGATAATAAGAATTCTTTGTTAGTTAAGAAAAACTATGTTTCTGTTTGAATACATTAGACTGAAGGCTGTAAATCACAAAATATATCCACCTGTCCTCAAATCATAAATTATTTCAACAAGTGCCTCATTTTATAAAATATATCTAACGTTCCACAAATCATAAAATAAATCTACTAACGCCCCATATCATGAAATACATCTACAAGTGGATGTAGGCCTATAGCCTACATTTTTTATGTGTTTCTGAGTAACATATTGTATGTTTATTGGATAGTACCACAATGTATAGGCTACTAGTGGCTACAGCTACCAAACAGCATTTACCCATGCCTCACAGAACAGCACAAAATACAGATAAAAACATCAGACAAACATAGTGTAAAATAGACCATAGACCTCGACATATCAATCCACCAAGTATATCAGTCCATCTTAAACGTGGCATGACTCCCCAATCTAGCATGACTCCCCAATCTAGCATGACTCCTCAATCTAGCATGACTCCACAATCTAGCATGACTCCACAATCTAGCATGACTCCACAATCTAGCATCACTCCACAATCTAGCATGATTCCCAAATCTAGCATGACTCCACAATCTAGCATGACTCCACAATCTAGCATGACTCCACAATCTAGCATGACTCCCAAATCTAGCATGACTCCACAATCTAGCATATAATCTAGCATGACTGCCCAATCTAGCATGACCCCCATTCTAGCATGACTCCCAATCTAGCATGACTCCCCAATCTATCATAATTCCCCAGTCTAGCATGACTCCACAATCTAGCATGACTCCACAACATGACTCCCCAATCTAGCATGACTCCCCCATTCTAGCATGACTGCCCAATCTAGGATGGCTCCCCAATTTAGCATGACTCCCCCATTCTAGCATGACTCCATAATCTAGCATGACTCTACAATCTAGCATGACTCCACAATCTAGCATGACTCCACAATCTAGCATGACTCCCAAATCTAGCATGACTCCACAATCTAGCATGACTCCATAATCTAGCATGACTGCCCAATCTAGCATGACTCCCCCATTCTAGCATGACTCCCAATCTAGCATGACTCCCCAATCTATCATAATTCCCCAGTCTAGCATGACTCCACAATCTAGCATGACTCCACAACATGACTCCCCAATCTAGCATGACTCCCCCATTCTAGCATGACTGCTCAATCTAGCATGGCTCCCCAATTTAGCATGACTCCCCCATTCTAGCATGACTCCATAATCTAGCATGACTCCACAATCTAGCATGAATCCCATGATTCCCAAAACTTTAGTGACACCTCAGACCGCCCGCCCGCCCCCACCACCACCACAATCTGGTACTACAAACACCCTCTTTGGCTCCCCACTGTGAAATGACTGTCCAGACATCTCCCACCCCCCCCCCACCCCCACCACCCCCCCCCCCCTACCCCATTGTATCACTTCACACTTGTACTAACTCAATGATAAAGTTGGGTCAATAAAACCAAAGGTCAACACAAAGGGCAGAGGTCAGCACTTTAATACATTTCTAAATATAACACAAAAGGAAGTAGTCAATACGAGAATAAAAGTTGAGCTTAACACAAAAGTTGAGGTCATTACAAAAGGAAGTGGTTAATACCAGAATAAAAAGTTGAGGTCATTACAAGAATAAAAAGCTAAGGTCATTACAAAGTAAGTGGTCAATACAAGAATAAAAAGCTGAGGTCATTACAAAAGGAAGTGGTCAATATCAGAATAAAAAGTTGAGGTCATTACAAGAATAAAAAGCTCAGGTCATTACAAAAGGAAGTGGTCAATACAAGAATAAAAATCTGAGGTCATTACAAAAGGAAGTGGTCAATACAAGAATAAAAAGCTGAGGTGAACGCGAAAGCCGAGGTCAATACAATGAAGAAACTTCGCCCGGGAAAAAAAAAAAACTAAACCGGAACAAAACGGGTAGCACGCCACACATCCAGAACATAAACAGTCGCCATGGCAACGGTGATAGAATCACCAGCCTGGTTTACTGCTTTCAAGGTCATCCTAAAAATCTCGTGTTAAACTAATAAACAATCATCAGCCAGTAGGTGTGCTACTGTGTAGCTAGTGTGTAGCTAGTGTGTAACTAGTGTGTAGCTACTACTGTAGTTAGTTAAACAACACATACACAACACGTGCAACTTACATATTAACTCACGACACGGACTAAAATCACATATAGATGCATAAAGAAAAAAAAATGTTATACATACTGCCGTTTTGGAACATGTATCGCACTCTGATTTTCTGATACAAGTCCCACACATTGATGTTGTGGAACAAGTGCCATACGGTAGTGTTTTGAAATTAATACGGCACATTGATTTTTTGGAACATGTGTTGCACACTGATGTTTTTAAAACAAGTGCCACACACTAGAACAAGTGCTACAACGTATGTTCTAAACAAGTGCCGCGTATTGATGTTTTGGAACATGTGTTGCACACTGATGTTTTTAAAACAAGTGCCACAAACTAGAACAACTGCTATAACGTGTGTTCTAAACAAGTGCCGCGTATTGATGTTTTGGAACATGTGTTGCACACTGATGTTTTGAAAACAAGTGCCACACACTAGCACAAGTGCTACAACGTATGTTCTAAACAAGTGCCGCGTATTGATGTTTTGGAACATGTGTTGCACACTGATGTTTTCAAAACAAGTGCCACACACTAGCACACGTGCTACAACGTCTGTTCTAAACAAGTGCCGCGTATTGATGTTTTGGAACATGTGTTGCACACTGATGTTTTCAAAACAAGTGCCACACACTAGCACAAGTGCTACAACGTATGTTCTAAACAAGTGCCGCGTATTGATGTTTTGGAACAGTTGCTATTGTTTCACCACAAAACAGTTTTAAAGTTCCTAATCAATTTTAGATTACTTTTTATCAAATGAAAAATACAGGACAACTCTTTATTCAGTATATCAGTGTGTATGTTAGACGAAAGTGCACTCGTTCCCTTTATGTCAGTAAATCATTCATCACTTTTACTCACATTATTACTGACAAACGAAATTGTGTGAATCCCACCAGCCCCCACAAACCACAATTTCCAATGTATCCATGCCTCGCCCAAGTAACCAGACCTAAATTTTACCCCCCCCCCCCCCACCTTCTATTCATGACTAAATTTTAGCCCCCCCCCCCCCCCTCTACTCATGACTACATTTTAACCCCCCGTCCCACCTCTATTACTGACTTAATTTAGACTCCCCCTTCTACTCATTACTATACTTTAGACCCCCCCCCTTCTTACTCATAAATACATTTTAACTCCCCCCCCCCCCCTTTACTCATAAATAAATCCCCCCGCTTACTCAAAAATAAATTTACCCCCCCCCCCCCATACTGCTCAATTTTTAAAAATTTAACCCATCCTCCCTTCTACTTGTAACTAAAGTTTCAGCCCCCCCCCCCCCACACACACAGAGTACGTATAGCTAAATTTGTATCCCTGCCTCCTACAGTACTCCCGCACAAGGTTTAGCCCTCCCCCCCCCCCCCCCCAGTACTCCCGCGCATACTAACGACAGAAACAAGGTTCCGATGTTTGGGAATTAGATTCTCACGGCCAGACGGTAAACTGTCAATTCTAGGCGAGCTCCGCTTGAGCTAAGACTGTGACGTCACAAATATCAGCTCAAAGTGTTCTTATGGCTAATTGTGACGTCACTTTAGTGAGCAGAAAAATATGACATCACGTAAATGAGCTAAAGCTTGATCTCCCGTACATGAAGTCCAACTGTCACACATCTATCTCGACATTAATATTGTGACGTCACTTATATATGTGATGCCGCTCCATGAGCATACGCTATGACGTCATTCTGCTGAGCTTAACCTCATATGACCAACACCTTCAAGCACATAATAAAATATCCACATACACCCTGGCTTAGTCCCAGCTTTATGTGGTATTATTCGAGTGCATTCCTTGGCTCAAACAGTACATAGAATTGTGTAGGAGTAGAGGGGAGGGGGGGGGGATGCTATCTTTTCTTATCCATTAGGCTAATTTTTAACTTTTTTAAAAATAAAAAACCCAATCTGTTTATAAATCTAAAAAGAGGGATAATATTCAACGATACATATTGATCGTGATCCATACCTTTTTTTTTTCGAATCCCCCCCCCCCCCCTGTAAAAAAAAATATTTGAATATTCCAAGGCACTGTGTAGAAGGACGTGTTAAAAACACCTTCTAATGCCTGCCCATAGTTATTTTAAACTAATCTTTGTACACATCTAGATAACAGACAATGTTTGACATTTTTGTATTGGATTTGTTTTCTCTACACGTATTTATTTACCCATATCTTCAAAAAATAAGTCTATATGTATATTCACATATGAACAAACATGTTTGGTGGAGACATACGCTGGCCGTGAATGTGTTGTATGTCCGAGGTTTCCCACTTGTAAAATAAAATAATCTCTTGTCCTTATAATCTGTTCATCGATCTTACTGCCACCTCGTCCGCCCGCTCGCTGGAACAAGCGGCCGTGTCCCTGAATTCGTCAGCCAACACAATTTTTGTGCCACGGTTTTTTTTCTCCAGCATCAGGGAGGATAGCCCGCTTGCAGACGTCTACCGACCACATCGTCAGCGGCCAGGATTGCTTCATCGTTTTCTACTCAACTTGAAATATTTTCTAGGCGACGTACACTAGGCTAGCCGAGCGTGCAAGCCGGGGATAGAGGGAAGCTAGGCAGTACTCACCACATTGACCCACCACACGTTAGTGAGCAGGTAGGTTTAAGACTGACCTATTTTTTCTCTCTTGGCCTGTGATTTGTAAGGCCTCACCACAGCTAGCTTTAAACTGTGGCTATAAATAGTTTTTTTTCGCATTTTAACTGTGTTGAATTAAATTAAAAATGTATGATGTGGAAGACACGTTAGCACGTAGATAACGCGGGTTGATAGCTGATGGAATAACAGGCGTACTAGTACAAGACAGTATTGATAGGAGAGAATTTTAATCAAAGGCGGGCTTATCTGAGTGTTGATCAAATTTTGATCCAGTGTTGATTCAAATGTGTTGATCAAAGACGTATGGATCTAAATTAGTGATGCTATTAAATAAACAGCGTGACACCCGCGGACAGGTTAAGGTTATGGTTAGACTCAGGGTAGACACCTGCTGGAACCAGAGATGGGAGTACACCTGGAACAGAGATGGGAATACACCTGGGAAATGTTTTTAACGAGGCGAGCCTAGGAAGCGGGGTAAACAGATCTGTAGAGGCTTGTAGTTAGTGGCGCGTAGGTATAGACCAAGCTAGTGGTGCTTAGGCTATGTTAGTGGCGTGTAGGTATAGGCCTACAGAGTTAGTGGCGCGTAGGTATATACCAAGCTAGTGGTGCTTAGGCCTATGTTAGAGGCGTGTAGGTATAGGCTTACATAGTTAGTGGCGCGTAGGTATAGACCAAGCTAGTGGTGCTTATGCTTATGTTAGTGGTGCGTTGGTATAGACCAGGGGTCTCCAAACTTTTCTGCCCGAGGGCCGCATTAACTATCAAATTTCAGTTCGGGGGCCAGTTTTTTCCAGACATGTCTTTGATTTTTCTGAGCAAAGTTCCTCAGCCATCACCAACAAACGTTATTTCCGTGAACAAAAAGTTCTCCGCGGGCCGGATGAGAGGACATAGCGGGCCGCATCCGGCCCGCGGACCGTAGTTTGGAGACCCCTGGTATAGACTAATAGTTAGTGGCGTGTAGGTATAGGTCTATGTTAGTGGTATGTATATACCATATGCCTATAGTTACTGGCGTGTATATATATACTATATGCCTATAGTTACTGGCGTGTCGGCCTATATTAGCCTAGTGGCGAGTAGGTATGTGCCTATATGTAATGGCGTGTTGCTTTAAGGGGGCATCAATTTATGACGTCCACAAACATTTTGAATTTACCCCCCCCCCCCCCCCAGGGCACACGCACCCACAAAATTCGATTTTTTTTTCGGAACCCCCCCTCCCCGTGTGGACGTAATAAATGGATGACCCCTAAGCCTACAATTAGTGGCGTTTAGAATTGGCTTATAGTTAGTGGCGTGTAAGTATTAGCCTATGTAAGAGGCGTGTAGGTATATGCCAATAGTTTGTAACTATAGACATATTCGTACACGCAAATAACAATAGGAATATGCCTATAGTTGTTGGAGTGTTGATATAGCTTATATTAATGACATGTAGGCCTATGTTAGTGGCGTGTAGGCCTATGTTAGTGGCGTGTAGGCCTATGTTAGTGGCGTGCATGCCTACATTAGTGGCCTTTATGTCTACATTAGTGGCGTGTATGCCTACAATAGTGGCCTTTATGTCTACATTAGAGGCGTGTATGCCTACATTAATGGCCTTTATGTCTACATTAGTGGCGTGTATGTCTACATTAGAGGCGTGTATGCCTACATTAGTGGCTTGTATGCCTACAATAGTGGTGTGTATGCCTACATTAGTGGCGTGTATGTCTACATTAGAGGCGTGTATACCTACATTAGTGGCGTGTATACCTACATTAATGGCCTTTATGTCTACATTAGTGGCGTGTATGTCTACATTAGAGGCGTGTATGCCTACATTAGTTGCTTGTATGCCTACAATAGTGGTGTGTATGCCTACATTAGTGGCGTGTATGTCTACATTAGTGCGTGTATACCTACATTAATGGCGTATATACCTACATTAGTGGCCTGTATGTCTACATTAGTGCGTGTATACCTACATTAGTGGCGTGTATGCCTACATTAGTAGCGTGTATGCCTACATTAGTGACGTGTATGTCTACATTAGTGGCGTGTATGCCTACATTAGTGGCGTGAATGTCTACATTAGTGGCGTGTATGCCTACATTAGTAGCGTGTATGCCTACATTAGTGGCGTGTATGTCTACATTAGTGGCGTGTATGCCTACATTAGTAGCGTGTATGCCTACATTAGTGGCGTGTATGCCTACATTAGTAGCGTGTATGCCTACATTAGTGGTGTGTATGCCTACATTAGTGGCGTTTATGCCTACATTAATGGCGTGTATGCCTACATTAGTAGCGTGTATGTCTACATTAGTGGCGTGTATGCCTACATTAGTAGCGTGTATGCCTACATTAGTGGCGTGTATGCCTACATTAGTAGCGTGTATGCCTACATTAGTGGTGTGTATGCCTACATTAGTGGCGTTTATGCCTACATTAATGGCGTGTATGCCTACATTAGTAGCGTGTATGCCTAGATTAGAGGCGTGTATGCCTACATTAGTAGCGTGTATGCCTACATTAGTGGTGTGTATGCCTACATTAGTGGTGTGTATGCCTACATTAGTGGGTTGTATGTCTACATTAGTGGCGTGTTTGCCTACATTAGTGGGTTGTTTGTCTACATTAGTGGCGTGTTTGCCTACATTAGTGGCGTGTAGCCCCGTAGCCATTGGCCAACAATAAAAAATGACGACATCAAAAGACGATTAACGGACCAAAATAGACTAATTACTGTCATCTCATTAGTGACTTCGCCTTTATTAGTTGTGATGGCATAATGTAGATTAATTTTTTTTCGTTATTTATAGTTTTACTTCTATCTACCTGTATGACGTCATTCTGGTCGTCTTAGTCGTTGTGTAATTAAACTTAATTAATGTCTGACATTAATTGGATTTTTAGAATTAAAACCTTTTACAGGTCGATTAGAATTGTAGTATAGAGAAACATTGACATATAAACAAAGGGTTCAATCTCCAGATTAGCGTGTACATTTGAACTTAGCGTAAGCCGTAAGTTTGACTTCGCCTAGCGTGTACACATACGTATAGCATGTACATATAAGTTTAGCGTTACCTAGCGAGTAGACATATAAGTTTAGCGTACATCTTTTTTTTCATTCTCTCAGGAGTGTACACATATATTTAGCGTAACCAAGAGTGTACATGTGTATTTAGCTTAACGTATATTGTACTTGTACACACAGATTTATCATTTAACACACTTGCAAGCATAATCTAGCAAAAACAAACAAAAAATTACCATAATCTATCATGCACGCAAAAGTAAAGTAGGCCTACTATCTGTCTAGTACACACATGTTCAGCGTCAGTACATACTATTAAGCGTAAGTACACTTATAATCATACACTGAAATTCACACATACAGATTGTTATGTTAATTGAAAGAAGTCTCCAAACTTGTGACGCCAAGGTTTAATACATGTAATCTTTGTGACGTCATTGGGTGTAGACTTAATATAATAAATATGTGCTATTTATGACGTCATTAGAAATTGTGTAATAAATTTACAGCGTTCATCGTCGCTCCAATTTAGTCTTTATGTAGATTGGTTTATCATTTATGACGTCACTAGACGTAGTCTCAGGTAGTGTGGTAGGCCCTAAACTTGGAAGCTGGAGGAAATTACCCCCCCCCCCCCCTCTTTCAATTACCCTTTCCCCGGACATCCTTGGTCATTACCCCCCTCCCCCGGAACAATTAACCCCTGTTATTTATTCCCTCTGGGTAATTTCCTTCCTCCTCCCTCTCCCATCATTACCCCCTCCCCCGGAACAATTACCCCCGGAACAATTACCCCCGGTCAATTACCCCTTCGGGCAATTACCCCCCCCCCCATCCCGTCATTACCCCCCTCCCCGGAACAGTTGCCCCTGTCTATCATCCCCTCTCTGGGTAATTACCCCCCCCCCCCCCCTCACCCCCCCCCCCCCCCCCCCCCCCCCCCACCTCTGAATAAAAGTTCTAGCTGTTCAAACATTACTGTCAGGGGCTGCTATTAGTTTTGGGCTGGTATCTTGACTTTTGATTACAATCTTCAACACCAGTAACAGGACGGAACAGCCGTTGTGCGCATGCGCCTAAAATATTGCTCAGCTGACGGTTCAACTCACACTTCATTTGCTGGTGGCCTAGCTCATTGTTTCTCAAAACTAATTACGTGTCTTCTCTTTTTTTTTAAATCGTGAACATTTAATAATTGTACAAAAATGTCGGACTTAGCTTTAGGCTTTTCAAATAAATGATGTCGGGTCTAGGGTAAAGAAAGGAAACGGCTGGCTGTTTTAACGGGTTGTGTGTGTGGGGGGAGAGGGGAGGTATCTGGTGTGGTTGTGTGTGTGTGGGGGGGGTATTTTGTGTGGTTGGGTTTGGTGAAAACGTGACTTTAAGCACTTGTTGAAAATATTTTTATTTGAAACATTAACGGAAGGCAATCCAGTGACTGGGAGATGTAGCCATTTAACAATTTAGCACCATGTAACAATTAGGTGGGGGTGGGGACAGATTGTGGCACCATGTAACAATTAGGTGGGGGTGGGGACAGATTGTGGCACCATGTAACAATTAGGTGGGGGTGGGGACATATTGTGGCATCATGTAACAATTAGGTGGGGGGTGGGGACAGATTGTGGCACCATGTAACAATTAGGTGGGGGTGGGGACAGATTGTGGCACCATGTAACAATTAGGTGGGGGTGGGGACATATTGTGGCACCATGTAACAATTAGGTGGGGGGTGGGGACAGATTGTGGCACCATGTAACAGTTAGGTGGGGGGGGGGGGGACAGATTGTGGCACCATGTAACAATTAGGTGGGGGTGGGGACAGATTGTGGCACCATGTAACAATTAGGTGGGGGAGGGGACAGATTGTGGCACCATGTAACAATTAGGTGGGGTACGGACATATTGTGGCACCATGTAACAATTAGGTGGGGTGGGGTGCGGACAGATTGTGGCACCATGTAACAATTAGGTGGGGGTATGGACAGATTGTGGCACCATGTAACAATTAGGTGGGGGGGTGCGGACATATTGTAACAATTAGGTGGGGGTGGGGACAGATTGTGGCACCATGTAACAGTTAGGTGGGGGGACAGATTGTGGCACCATGTAACAATTAGGTGGGGGGTGCGGACATATTGTAACAATTAGGTGGGGGTGGGGACAGATTGTGGCACCATGTAACAATTAGGTGGGGGTGGGGACAGATTGTGGCACCATGTAACAATTCGGTGGGGGGGGGACAGATTGTGGCAACATGTAACAATTCGGTGGGGGGGGGGGACAGATTGTGGCACCATGTAACAATTAGGTGGGGAGGGGGGAGATTGTGGCACCATGTAACAATTAGGTGGGGTGGGGTGCGGACATATTGTGGCACCATGTAACAATTAGGTGGGGGGTGGGGGGGACAGATTGTGGCACCATGTAACAATTAGGTGGGGGGGGGGACATATTGTAACAATTAGGGGGGGGGGTACGGACATATTGTGGCACCATGTAACAATTAGGTGGGGGTGGGGACAGATTGTGGCACCATGTAACAATTAGGTGGGGGGGGGGGCGGACATATCGTAGCACCATGTAACAATTAGGTGTGGGGGGGACATATTGTGGCACCATGTAACAATTAGGTGGGGGGACATATTGTGGCACCATGTAACAATTAGGTGGGTGGACAGATTGTGGCACCATGTAACAATTAGGTGGGGGGGGGGGGGGGTGGGTGGGGACAGATTGTGGCACCATGTAACAATTAGGTGGGGAGGGGGGGGTTAGGACAGATTGTGGCACCATGTAACAATTAGGTGGGGGTGAGGACAGATTGTGGCACCATGTAACAATTAGGTGGGGGAGGGGACAGATTGTGGCACCATGTAACAATTAGGTGGGGTACGGACATATTGTGGCACCATGTAACAATTAGGTGGGGTGGGGTGCGGACATATTGTGGCACCATGTAACAATTAGGTGTGGGGTGGGGGACAGATTGTGGCACCATGTAACAATTAGGTTGGGGGAAGATTGTGGCACCATGTAACAATTAGTTGGGGGGAAGATTGTGGCACCATGTAACAATTAGGTGGGGGGGGGGAGATTGTGGCACCATGTAACAATTAGGTGGGGGGAAGATTGTGGCATCATGTAACAACGACGAACGTGGACAAAAGACAACAACAAAAACACGCGTGACGTCATCTATAGAATCCGTCTTAGACGAATTCTATTTTCCCAGAATAATCCAACCCCTCTCCACCTCCTCTCTCCACCGTCCCCCTCCCCTCTCCACCTCCTCTCTCCACCGCCCCCCTCCCCTCCCCTTTCTGCAATAATTAAAGTCTCAGCTGCATATAGCAGTACCAGCTCCGCTAGCCTTGCTGGCGCATGATTCTCTTCAGATAAACAAAGCGTAGCTTTAGGACGCAGATCATCCCATACATATCTTCTATGTCATCGTGGCTAAAGCTTTAACATTCCTAACTCGTCGTTCTCTATCTCTCAAACTTTATCTACATCCATCTCTTATAAATATATAAGCGATGGTGTAGAGATATATATGCCTATATATATATATATATATATATATATATATATATATATATATATATATATATATATATATATATATATGTATAGGTATATTTTATATATGCATATATATATATATATATATATATATATATATATATATATATATATATATATATATATATATATATATATATGTATGTATGTATCAGAGAGAGAGAAATTCGAGAAACAGAACGAACATAAGTGAATATTTCACCTTTTATTCTATTTGTCTTTCTGATGAAGCTGTAATGGGTATATTACCAGAAAGTGGCAAATATATTGCGCTAACACCAAATTTATTTTATAAGAACCTTACTTAGCCAAATACTAGAGGCTAATAATTATGTATGGATTTTTACTGGTATCATTGTTAACTTTGTATCATCGTAATTACCTGACTAAAAACATGAACATTATACATACACACCGACTCAAACAAGACAAACACACTAACATAGGCAGACACACAGTTAAATTATGCCTGTATATTATTATATTTATGTGATGTTATTATACCGTGTGTTGTATGATCAGTGAATATGATGACATCTCGCAATAACAACTTACAACATACGCAGGACTTGAAAAAAAATCAGTGATTTTTGGAACCGAAATGTTTTTTTAAGCGCTTTGAAATTACGAATGGAGAATCAGAGAAAAACAACATCGTGTTCTTCGCTGGCTGTGTGTCCAAGTGCATTCAGCCTACAGGCAAATCGATTTAGTAATTTTCTAGTTTTTGTCATTTTTTTCATAAATAATAAAACTGTACATAAAGCAGAAAGATGTTTGTTAGCAAAAACAATAATTTACCATTGGGTTGAGTTGAAATCATCGAGTTAATTATGTGCTTTAAGGGGTTTTATGATGAGCGGT